GATCTGTGGAGGGGACTCTTGGATGGGCTGCATGAGATGACCGCTGCGGCTTCTGCTAGCTAGGATCCTATGAACTCATAAATTCTCTGACTCTTGAGCCACAGCCATCAGAATCAAAGGATTTTAGAGTTAGAAAGGCCATCTAGTCATTGACCAACTTCTCCAACCAACCCAGAAAAGAATCTCCCCCCCCGCACCCCCGCATGTCCCTGACAGCTGGCTGGTCATCCAGCCTCTACCTGACTACTCCCACCTCCATGGGCAGCTATCATGCCAAAGGAGCGCTCTAAATGTCAGGAAGTTCTTCCTGACCTCCAGCCTACACTGACCTCTCTATGAGCTCCCCACCATGGCTCCTTGCTTTACTCTGTGGCCCCAAAGAACAAGTCTGACACCTCCTCTATCTGAAAGCTTTCAAAACATGAAGTGGGAAAGTATGCCTAGTTCCCTCCACAGATCCTAACATAGCATCACCCAGAGGCCCATGACCTTCCTCACGGACTTCCTCAGAAAGTTCTCTAGCTTCTGTCTTTCCTAAACAGAACTTAAACAAAACAAAACCACTAGTCCAATGTGGTACAGTGATCAGGGCAGAAGACAATGAGATCGCCTCCTTATTCCTAGAAGCTGTCTCTCTCTCTCTCTCTCTCTCTCTCTCTCTCTCTCTCTCAGGGTAGTCATTATGCTGACATCATTACTAGGTCCCACCTTCTGGAAGTCAAAGAAGGCAATGGGCTAAATAGTGCTCAATAAGATGACTTAGTTTTTTTTAAATAGTAATAACAATAATAATATGCATTAAGCACTAGACAGAATTTAAAGGTAACACTCAGCTGATATATCCTGTTTGAGGTTTAAACTTAATTTAGCAAAATTAACAAATTTAAAGCTTAAGTGTTACCCTTTGTTATTTATTCCAAAGAGAAAAGGTATAAAGGTATAAACACGGAATGTTAATAAAATCAGCATTTTCCTAACTGGTAGAAACCTTCAGACATCATCCAGTCCCCTCTCCTCAAATCAGAGTTGAGGGAGCTAGGGTTCCCAGAAGTAAGGGCTTGGGAACTATGCCTCCCTCATCCTCTTCCACGTCTACCATTAAGTCATATCCAAAGCAACGTTGCTGGCTCTCCCAGATGCAGTTCACCGTGACCAACACAGGCCCCTGACATGGCAAAGGCCCTTCCCTGTTCGTGAGTCACTGACGTAAGGAAGGAGCACAATGATCCAAAGCAGAGGCACCCGGGAAATTCTTCCAATTGCAGAAAAGGGGAACTTGGACCAATTTTGTTTTGTTTTGTTATTTTTAAGAAAGGTGCCACACGTTATTTTTGGACAAATTTTACAGATAGATCTTACAGGCAATCAAAAGTAGATAGCATATTTGTTTAGGAGAAATTAACTTAACCTACTGGAAAAAACCATAAATCCTTTCAGCTGGAAACCAAGGGAGTCCAATTACACTAACTGGTGGGCCTCCACCTGGGCTCAGCTGCTTTCTGCAGGCCAGCAAGCAAGTGTCCCGACTTCCACTGCAAGTGGGCCCTCACAGCCTGGTAGAAGGGACACAGAGCGTATTAGAGAGCCCATGCCCATCCTCAACTTGACTTAGCTCATTTCTTTTTCAGTTCTTACACACAATTGGCTTTTGTGAATTCACATATAATTAACCAAGATCAGTGTATATCTAACAATTTAAGTGTGACAATGTGGATTAAGTTATTTAACTTACCGGGGAAGGAATGAAAGCCTCATGGTACTTCTTTGGATTTATCCTCAACACACCCTTAAAAAAAAAAAAGACATTAGCCTGAGAAACAAGTCCAATGGATGAGAGCCATTTTACTGCAGAAATTTGCTGTTGAAACCAGGACACCAGATTTATTACTATATTTTTCAATCTTAGGATTATGCTAACATCTTGATCCTAAAACACAATTTTAGGCCTGGCAAACTGATATTGTGCGTGAAGGAAATTGTGGCAGAGTGCAAGGGGCATCCACAAAGATGAAAAAACTTTAGGGGAGGACACTTACCATTTCCGTAGTCTGGATTTTTGATGCTGTTTTACCCATTTCAAACTGCTTTGCTATCAGAACCAAGAGGCTGATGCATCCTCAGCAGACAATGAGACTAGGCCATTACACATCCCAATTCCAAAACATAATCACCAATTCTGACATTTTCCTACATACCACAGCTTGACTTAAAGCAAGATGCCACAAGAGGTAAGGTCTCCTTCTGCGTAATAATGGCAATGATGATGGTGGCTAACATCTGATGGCACTTTAAGGTCAGCAAAGTGCTAGACACGTTACCTCATCCAACCCTCACAAAAACCCAATAAATGAGGTGCTACTGTTATTCCATTTTACAGATGAGGAAATTAAGACTGAAAGCAGTTAGGTGACTTGTTCAGCTCACAAAGGGTCCAAATCTGAACTCGGGTCTTCCTGATCTCAAGTCCCAGGCTCTACCCATTATACCACCTAGCTGCTCAGGCAACACAAAAAGAGCAGCCAGTTTACAGACTCAGCCATTTCAAATGGCCGACAACCAAGCGTGAATGCAAATCGGAGTGCTGGCTCCACCACCCAGGCCACCCAGGCCACCCAGGCCGCCTCCAGCTTTATGTTATTCAAACGCTATGTCGGGGCTGATTCTATTTACATATGGGGGTGCACACGGGGATGGCTGGGGGGATAGTGTTTGTAAGAGCTCAAGCAGGAAGCTGTTACCCTTTGAAGGCTCTGGCTGTGGAGACCACACTCCCCTGAAATTTTCAGATGGTGTCAATTACTTTCTAACAAGCCAGAATCAAAAGGTGCCTTAAGAGAGTGTTTCAAATGTTTTCCAAAATGTTGACAGACACAATGTAATTAGCAAAATAGGTGAAGACATAAAACATGGGTTAAAATCATTTTCTCCTTCATTGATCTGCCAAGTTTGAATTATGAGTTTTCCTGCAAGAGTGGGTGACATCACTCACACCCCCAACAGCACGTCCCTGTGTCCCTGTACTGTGTCAGACACAAATGGAAATGCCACTGGCTGGCCAAAGAGAGATCGTTCAACTTTCCACTGGAGGTAAGTAACATTCTGAAACTTGACTTTGGATTGTGCCCACGCTACTCTGCCTTATTCACCTCTTTTGGCAGATTACAGTGTGACCTAGAAAGTATCAGTGTGTCGATTACCCAAGTATTCTTAGAATTTCCTTCCAATGAGGGCCACTGAAACACTCATTTTAAACTAATAAAAATCAAACTTAAAATAGTGACTAACAGATGCTGTAATAAATGCTTCATGTTCTGGAGGGTGAGAACCTCGTTGAGTCCACGGCTGGAAAGAGAGCTCCAGTGAATTAGCAGGAATTTATTCCGTTTGTGTACACTTAAAACTTACAGACGTATGCAGATTACGCTTCATATATTCAAAGAATAATTCTGAAAAGAATACTCCTAATGGTTTGGGATCTTTTTTTCCTTTTTCTTTTTTTAAAAGAAAAGCCACTTGGGAAGTGACGCTTCAGGACTTGCTGTGAATGGAGTCCTGGCTCGCTGTGGGAGCCCGCGGAAGCTGCTTCCTCTCTCATGTCCCTGCTCTGTCCCTTTGTGTCCTCTGAGATGGCAAAGGACAGTGTGAGTTCTCTCCACATGAGTGTGTGCATCACTATCCTCCAGTGTATAAAAGGTGGAAGCTCCTTCCCCACAGCTGCTTCTTCTCCCCCCACCCCCAGTGTGGGAATCCAACCCACACACTCACAATTTGTTAGAAAACATTTTCTGCTGGGACAAAGGGAGCAACCAGATGAGAAAACTCTTTCTACCAATGCAGATCAGCATCTTCTTTGTAACTAACAGTCTCAGCGTTACCTGGGATACCAATAGGTCCAATGGCTTGTGCAGGGTCACACAGCCAATGTGTCAGAGGTAGAATCTAAACCCAGGTCTGCCTGACCACCTGGTCAACCCTCCATGCACCAGGCAATATTATTATTACAAAAGGAGAGCACTTGGGGCAGAGCACAGATTCTTTACACTTGAGAGCTAGCATCACCCATTAGGGTTACTCCAATTGGTCTGCGTTTTCAAATCCTGGACTGAACTCATTCCTAAGGCTACACACTGGTACCCCAGGTCTCAGGAACAATCAGCCAAGTGGTACTGGGTGCATGCTTCTCAATCAATGGTTTCCTCTTCCTTCAAGCTCAGGACAAAGACTTGTGCTCCAGCCTCAGAGTGCTCCAGTCATCTCACTGACCTAGCATTCATCCATCCTCTGGCCTCTCCCCTCACTTCCTGCTGTTCCTCAGAAACCACCCACCTCTGCCTTCCATGGGCCCAGCTCACGGCTCTCCCAGCTCTGCCCTTGAGCGGCCTTTCTGCAGTAGAACACCATACAAAATGACCACTTTTCCAAACACCTCTTAGTGACTGTAGCACCTCTGAGAGAGCTAGCCCAGTGCCCTGCACACTCCCTGTTTCTGTGCCCCAAGTGCCCAGCAGCACCTGGCACACAGCAGACACACGATGTTAACTGAATAGACCAGAACTCTGTAGACTTCTCTTACATTTCTTAAATCCCACCACTACATTTTAATACCAATGACTCTAGGCCTCTCCAGGAAGCCTCTGCTCCCTGACTGATTCTCTCTCCCTAGATACCAGACGTTTCTTCTCCCTGGGCCTTGGCCTGCTGCTGCTTCCTTCCACTGTCTTCCTGCCAAACACTCCTCTTGTACGCATGGGCTGCTGGAAGACGCGAGCCCCACTCCTTCTTCCCTGGCACGACTCCATCCGAGTAACCGTACTGGGATCGTTGGGTTTGGGGGGAACGTGCAGAAGAATTGTGGGAAAGTAACCTTCTCTTCCTTCTTGACTAAAACCATTCCTCTAGATCTCGTTCAAAGTCCGAACTGAGCTGGAGGTCAGCTTCCTTCTAATTCTTAAGCAGACGGATCCAGAGAGATAAAAGGATGAGCTGTCCCAGCCCTTCTGGGGCATCATCTCCTAACCAACGGCTCCAGGTAGCAGAATCCAGGCTCTCACGTCCATAATGACATCATAGCTCAGGGCCACTAAGATGCACAGGTGACAAAGTGAGTGAGACAGGGCTCTCTCCCAACCTGTGACATACCTGCTGGAGACAACCAGAATGCACTCTACTCAAGTCTTGCTGCAGAAGCAGCTCCTCCTCTCTCTGTCACTTTGCAGTGCTTTAGGCCAGCTGGTTATAAGCTGGGGAGCAGCAGCCGAACTCGTAAGCTGCAATTCTACAACCCCACCCCAGACCCTGGGGCCCCTCTAGCATCCCCAACCCCGTGACAAGTATCACATGGGCACCTCCTGCTGACCACTGTCAACAGCATCAGAGGTGGAGTGGATTACATGAGCCAATAATGAAGAGGCACCTCTTGTAATACAGTGGTCTCCCTAATCAAGGAAAGCGCCTTCTGTTGAGGTGGTTGATTGTCAATGCCAGAGAGAGCAAGTGGGATGAGAAATGGCCTCCAGAGGCAATACTGGAGACCAGCAGGAACCTTAGAAGAGCAGTCGCAGTGGGAATGGAAGCAGGAAGTCAGTGGGAGCTAAGGAAGTGAACTTATTCTTGGCGAATCATTGATGGCTTCTAGTTCCTATAATTTTCCTATTTAAGTGCTTACAAAATACCCATTTAATGATTCTTTATAGAATTTTCCTTGGGGTAAACATGAAGTTCACAAGTATATGGCTTAGAGAATCCCCTCCCCCAAAATCAGGCAAGCTTCTGTCCATCTCCAGTCTCTTGGCAGCCACCTCAAACGTTGCCTGTTTGCTCCAAAATAATCAATAGCAATGGTTTGGGCCCAAATCCTTATCACCCTCAGTCTTGACTGGGGTACAGGAGTCCAGCTTGGACGCCATGACCTCTGCTAGGCTGTCCCTCGTATGAAGAAGCAGCTCCATTACAAAATACAGCGGCACTCTCTTACCCAGTTTCCATGTAGACCCAATTTGTGAGGATGCCACCAATTTCTGGACCACTCTGCATCTCTTGAACTCCAACTGAAATTTCCTGAATAAACCCAGTATCATGAATCGCTAGATCTTTATTGCTCATTCCATTTAATATCAGAATTTGGCCTTGTTGCTTGTGATACACATCAAGAAATAATCAGCACCATGGCCAGAGTTTGTGAGGAAACTGGCTCAGCACTGAAAGAGCTGAGAGCGAGTCCCCTCATTAAGCTGTAATACCCACTACAGTAGAAAGGAAAGGGCAGGACCTGGTGCACACCCCTCAGAGCAGAGCCAGAACAGGAAAGGCTACTCCACCTCTGTCATTGAGAAAAAGCTTCCCTAAAGTGGGCATGTTTTCTGGTCCTGGCCCCAGCATGCTGACCACTCCCCAGGAAAGAGGGATGGGGATGTCTCCACGTCAGGGAATGCCCTGGCCTTCCGCTCCCCTCAAGTCGCATTTGGAAGCATCCCTGTACCCAAGGAGTTAGTGTTCAAATAAGGGTAACAAAGGCTGGATGACAAGCAGAGCTTCCAGAAACTATCTTGTTTGTTGTCCATAACATTCTTTTTTCCAACAATCTTAGTTCTGTTGGGGGGTGAGGCTTCTGGCCACTATCCTTGCAGGCTGATGTCCCTCTTACATTCTCTGCTCTTCCCAGACACAGGCCAACCTGGTCACTGCCAACCCTGTGGCTTCTCTCCTATTCACCACGGCTGCTCCAATGTAACCAATGGCACTGGATGGCTCTGCAGCTGAGCTGCTTTCAAATGGGGGAAGAGGAAG